TTTGGGCTTCTTTTTAAAAGTATTTGTTTTCATAGGGACTTTGATTAAGAATTCTAAGATTTTTTTTTATTTTTTTTTTAATGTTCAGTTTTGAAGGAGAGAGAGACAGAGCGTGAGTGGGGGAGGGGCAGAGAGAGAGGGAGACACAGAATCCCAAGCAGGCTCCAGGTTTCAGGAGTCACAGCCCAGAGCTCGAACTCACAAACCACGAGATCATGACCTGAGCTGAAGTCAGGCATCTAACCGACTGAGCCACCCAGGCGCCTCAAGAATTCTAAGATTAAATCGTAGTCCAAAATTTGATGGACTAATCATTATTTTAAAGTCTAAGACAGTATGTTTAAAGATGGAAAATATGGTTATTTCATCTTCTATGCAACAGAGTTTTAATTTAAAACAATGCAGTAAGTAGCTCCTTCTAGAATTTAAGATTAAATGTGTAAAATCATATCCTGATGTAGGAAGTGGAAAACAATAAGAAATATAGACCATAGTGTATTTTCCCAAATGAACAAATTCATTGGAAAACTTTTAAAATTTAGAGACTTAACCATGCCTTCTTTTGGACACTGAGGTGAAACCAGGGCCCTGCTTGCTGTCTTTTGTTTATTTTTTTGGAAAAGATGAAGATTCCTCCTGTGCTTGAGCCCATGGTCTCGTTGCGTTACTAAGGGTACTTGGGGGCAACCGCGTGAGGAACCACAGCTGTCAACACCTCCAGGTCTCAGGGGACACTGCCTCTTGGAATACTAGACCTTTGGGTAGAGTCCCTCAGGATCACACACCTTGTTAGGGAGGGTCTCCTCTTTGTTCACCTTTTTTCCTGGCAGGTGCTAGGGCAACAAAGAGAAAATAAACAACAGCTGACTTCTGAAGTGCTAGGTGCCAGGACTTGCCGCCATATGTATCCCTTTATTTGTACCATGGTGCTCTCACATGACTCTTTTCTAAAGTGTTGGATCTGGTCCCTCACTATGAGAGGAAAAACACGTGTGTGTGTGTGTGTGTGTGCGCGCGCGTGCATGTGTGCATAAAATATGCATATATATAAGCAAACATATATATATGCATATTATGTAATATACAAATTCATATGCAAATACACATGGACACATGAGCTCATTCATAGAATTGTAGTCATTTGTTGCCCATTCAACAGCACATAAAACTTAAACACAAGATAAAGAGAAATAAAATAAGGGGCACCTGGGGGGGCTAAGTTGGTTAGTCTGACTCTTGATTTCCGCTTGGGTCACGATCTCATTCGTGGTTTGTGAGTTTGAGCCTTACTCTGGAGTCGCCTTGGGCTTCTCTCTCTCTTTCTCTCTCTCCAACTCTCCCCTACTCTCTCTCTCTTTCTCTCAAAATAAATACATAAACATTAAAAAAAAGAAATAAAACTTTTAGACCTAAAAGGATATTTCCATTTCCCTTTTAATATAGCTGAAATCAAAAGTGCTGTGTAAGAATACATTTTAAGTCCTACACATTGTTACTGACGCCTACTAGATGTAAATGAAGTCTGCTTACTCTAAGTGATCTTGTCGGTGTCAAAGAAAATGTACTGACTTACCAAGATATCAATAGCAATTCACTTATTTTGCTTACCAAAGAGGGTTATATTGGTTTATCTTAAACGTCTCAGTCCTTACTAAGTAACAAATTGTAAGTAGTTTGGGGGTGTTTTTAATCTTTGCTTACGAATGCTTAAAAAACTAACCCCTATAAAAGTTAAATCTTTGTTTATAAATGTATATTAAATAATGAAAGGATGCGACCCAGATTGCTTTTTGCGGGTGACAATATGTCAGAAGTAATTGTTTTAATGAGGACGATGCTGAGCAGGTATCGACGATGATTGTCATCAGCTCAAATTTCCAACAATGGAAAGATTTGGGCTCATGTTTCGTCTATCTTTCTTGCTTTACAGCTTTCTCACGATACATATTTCTCTATATATCTCCAAAGTACTGAGAATACGTGCTGTCAGGCATCAAACCAATTTTCATGCTAGAGATATATGTATCAGTTTCTAATTTCTGTTGAATTCAATAATCTGATTTTTAAAAGCTCATGTCTGATCCACGTGGTCATTTTTGCTCCTATATCCACTCTGTAGACTTTGGAGGGAAAAAATGTGTTTAACTGGCTGCTCAATATTTTCTGATTTTTTTTCTATTCTTATGCACATGGGAGAAGGGGAGTAACAACTTGCATAAGCAGTGTACTTTTTTACTGTTCTAGCAAAAGAGTAATTTTGTCTAAAGCATACCCGTTATTCAAACTGGATGAGGTTAAGTGTAAGATAGTGTATTTTTCCTCTTTGCTGTTTTTGCACTCTGTAATTGCACTTTTTAAGTTTGAAGAGCCATTTTGGTATGCGGTTTATATTGAAGAGGCTATGGACCATAAAGTTGTATTGCATGCAGTTTAACTTATTTGACAATGGATTTTATCAGAGTACTGAATTGTATCAATTTGTTCGTGTTCAATATCAGCTTTGATAATTGTGTAACTTAAGATATTGAAGGAGAATATAGCTACTTTACAAGATATTGTTAATGTTTATTTATTTTTGTTGGGAACTAGAAAAAAAGACAACTGAAAAATAAAAATGCATTAAGTATCATGCACAAAGGAGTTTCGCTGATAAATACCGTCTCTCTCTCTCTTTTCTTTTTTTCCATAATAAATTGGAGGGCCTAAAAGCAGTGATAGAACTACAATGTGTTTAGATATAGAGACTTCTAAATATAGAAAGATAAAGGTCTTAGTTTGGGAAAGCAGCTTATAAATTTATTGCACTTATGGCCTACCACAATGAAGATTTTTGAAATAAAAGGAGTTGCATTAATTATAAAATTTTAGTGGTTATTATTTTTTTAGTTTTTTTTTTTTTTTTTTTTTTTTTGAGAGAGAGTGCAAGCTGAGGAGGGGCAGAGAGGGAGGGGGACAGAGGATCTGAGGGACAGTGGATCTGAAGCAGGCTCTGAGGGGGCTTGAACTCACCAACAGTGACATCATGACCTGAGCCAAAGTCAGGCGCTCAACCGACTGAGACACCCAGGCGCCCCAGCTGTTAGTATCTTTTTAAAGAATATATTTAAAGACTATTAAAAAAAAAAAAGGTATTTCTAAAAGGAAAAGATACCCTACTGAGAAGTAATTTATGAAAGGACACGTGAGCCAGAATGTGTTTCATGATTCCCTCAGTATCCATCAACCAAGAGACTTGGCTTCCCTGGGCCTTCAGAGCAAGAAATATTGGTCCTGCTGGACCCCAGTTACAGTGATGGTATCCTTGTACATACTTCAACAACCCACAGAATACTCTACCCCCCTATTAGCTCCTTGGATCATTTCATTGGCCTATGGACAGGGTAGGGAGGCATAGCTAGGACCATTTCATAGGGAGATAAAACGTAATTTGTTCAGAGTCACAGTGGTAGGAAAAAGTAGAGTTGGCATGAGTAATAAGGTCTCCTGATTCCCCATTCCACAGCAGCTCTGGCCATGTCAGAGGCAGCAGAGCCATCAGGTGAGTGAAGTCTCAGAGGTAGTTTAGAATATTCTTGGGAGAAACAAAAATTTTTCTAAAATGAATCTCATAGAACCCTCACATTCATTGACCCTGTTCAAAGTCTGAGATCTCACCGATCCCTCAGATTGACCCTGTTCAAAGTCTGAGAACCCAGAGAGTTAAGAAAAAGAACTCCTCGAAATACTTTTTTCACTTGGCTTCTAGGACACGACATTCAACTGGCTTTTCACCTGCTGCTCAGTCTCAGGCTGGATCTTCCTTAATATCTCCTGTCCCCCATCACTGATCTGGCATGCCCCCTGATTTCAATCTTGGAACTTTTTTTCTGTATACAGCCACTCACTACTTTATTTCATAAAGCCTGTGTCTTTAATTATCATCTGTATATAATTATTCCCAGCCTAGATACTTCCTCTGAGTCTTGGACTTCTTCATCCAACTGTCTATGTAACATTTCCACTTGGATATCCATTGGACATTGAACAGGAACATGTTTAGTAACTGATATTCCCCTAAGACACTGTTGCTTCTAAAATTTTCCCATCTCAGTTCAATTCAATCACATCCTACCTTGGGTCAAAAACCTGGTATGATCTTCTGGAGGTGCTGAGGTGCTGAAAGAGATTTCAGAGGGATTACTCTAAACTTTTTAGAACAATGTCAAAATCATTGATTTTGAAGAGATTATGCAAAAAAAAAAAAAAAAGTACCAGGGAACCAGAGTTAGATTATCACAAT